CTGGCAAAGGTAGTACGGTGTTGACCTCTTCTTCTTTCTTCTTTTCCTTCTTCTTTTTTCTATTTCTTCTTCTTGTGCAGTGGCAACGTCTTTTGATTACCCCTATGACAAAATTATTATTTACATTTCAGGTTTACAAAAAAAATTTATAATAATTTCCTTAATTACCCAAATTAAAAGCACATTTATAGTTACGAAAACAAATATGTTTTTATTATCTCGAAATAATTTATTATTAATGAACTAGAAAAAATATTCTTTATTTATTTTTAAATTGTAATTTACTATGAGTATTAAATTCCATAAATTGTAACTAGAATAATTATGTGTGGATTGTTTAATCCGAGAATAACCAATTTATGCACTTTTTATTTTATGTCATCAAATTTCCAAAATTCTTGTGGAATCATGCATTTTAATAATCTACTAAGATCTTATAATTAGTACTTCTCACCATTTTTGTTTTCGAACGAATTAATAATCAAAGCTAGTATGTTTTATTCCAGAAACAATACTATTATTTATTTCCTGGCCATTAAAAATAAACAACATATATCTCTAAGAATAAAACATACATTTGTTAAATGCACATAAGCGTAGATTAAATAGTTGTCTACACCTAATAAAACCCAATAAAATACCTTTCTAAAATAATTCTTATGTCATTAATTCTACTAATTCCAATAAAATACCATTTTAAAATAATTTTTACTTTACTTTACCTATTTACTTCATATATATTTTTTACCACCTGTTGATATATATGTTTTCTTTTCTTCTTACTCTTCTCTCGATTTCGCTTGAAATTCTGCATCTCCATACTTTGAAACTTTCCTGTTTCTATCGCGATTTTCTCATCTGGTGGCGCGTCGTGGCGCCTGGCATAGCGGCGTAGCTCTCTGGTAGAGCGGCGTTGCTTCTTGGTTGAGCGATCTGGCTCCTAAAAAATCGTTATTGCTCCCTGGTAGAGCGGCGTTCTCCTAATTACTTGGCGTTGCTCCCTGGTAGAGCGGCATTCTCCTATAAAATTGGCGTTGCTGCCTTGCAAAGCGGCGTTGCTCCCTGGCAAAGCGGCGTTGCTCCCTGGCAAAGCGGCGTTGCTTCCTGGCAAATCGGCGTTGCTTCCTGGCAAAGTGGCGTTGCTTCCTGGCAAAGCGGCGTTGCTTCTTGGTAGAGCGGAATGGCTCCTAAAATCGGCGTTGCTCCCTGACAGAGAGGCTTCTTCTAATATACGGCGTTGCTCCCTGATAGAGAGGCTTCTTCTAATATACGGCATTGCTCCTTAGCAAAGCGGCGTTGCTTCCTGGCAAATCGGCGTTGCTTCCTGGCAAATCGGCGTTGCTTCCTGGCAAAGCGGCGTTGCTTCCTGGCAAAGCGGCGTTGCTTCTTGGTAGAGCGGAATGGCTCCTAATATACGGCATTGCTCCTTGGTAGAGCGGCGTTCTCCTAATGTATGGCGTTGCTCCCTGACAGAGAGGCTTCTTCTAATATACGGCGTTGCTCCCTGATAGAGAGGCTTCTTCTAATATACGGCGTTGCTCCCTGATAGAGAGGCTTCTTCTAATATACGGCATTGCTCCCTGATAGAGCGGTCTGAATCCTATTTTTCCCTCGTGTACATCTTGTCCTGGTATCAAAGGGCGTTGTTTAGGGCTGGTCGGAAACTACGTCGATCCATGTGACCCCCAAACTCCCTCCAATCTATTTACCTAAATTTGTCATCATCACAGTCTGGGGAAAAGGTCCTTAGAGCTTATCCCTTCACACCGTGACGTGACAACCTCTCCTCTAGTTTTGTCCTGTCGTGGACACTGCTTGGGGGTTGATCGGAATTGTACCTCGATCGAATGTCCCCAAACTTTTTTCTTTTCTTCCTGTTTTTCGAATTCCTCGTCGAATATCTATAACACAATATTCACATATTACTACATATTCACTTTACATATCAATTTTTGCTCTGCCTCTTTTGGGCAGTCCAAACCTCTTTAAATCATCCTAAGATGTGCTTATTCGCACATCTCGCACTTGTACGCCTTTTCTTCTTTTTCGTGCGTATACAACACGTCCTCTTCCTCCTCAAACTCTATTGCTGATGGCCTGGTAAACATCTTTAATCTAAAACACTGTATATCTATATTATTATTTTTAATTCACAAAATTTAAACCATAAAATCCAATATACTTCTGAAAAAAAAATTATTTAAAATGCCAATTTTTCATTAACGCTGTACGTCGCTGAACTAACTTTACCTATATTACTGACCTACCACAACTGATAGCAATGCACTTTGAAATAAATACTTTGCGAAAATGTAATATCATATTTATAGTTCATTATAGTTCAATGTCGATTTTTTTGTAAATAGTGACAATATTTACCTTTAAATTCTTTATCATCTAAACTAGATATACTTATACATCATCAACCTATTTAAATATTTTCCCTTCGCAATTCTTATTTAACATCATAGTTATTTTAAAATAAATTAAAATTCTCCTTTTGAATAATTTTCTCTTTATTGAAATGATGACTTTTTGTACACAAAGAAATATAATATTATAAATAAAATTGTATACTATTTTCGACTTGACCCTAATGTTTATTGTTACAATTATTTTCAATGTCAATGTTTTGTTTAAACAACTACTTAGTTAAAACATTATATTAAATTATCATCTATTTATTTATCTTTGTTTTTTATCAATTCAGGTTCGCTAATTTATTTAATAAAATGAAATTTGCATTTATCACTTGATTTCTGTATCTACTCAATTTAGTTTATTAAAAGGCACTTGTCCTCTCCAAAAAAATTACAAAATTTAAAAAAAATGTCTGTAAAATAATTGATATATCTCCTTATCCTTATCTTTAATAACAAATTTTCCCTTTTCCTTCCAACCAGTCAAATACTATCAAAAAACACCGCTTGTCACCAAATGTAACAACCAGTTAATCCTAAAGACCAACGCTCGTCACCAAATGTAACAACCAGTTTGCCTAAAGACCATTTGTAACTACTGATAGGTCTTTAGCTACTGTTACTATACTATTAAGGGATAAAGGCAGCGCTTGTCACCAGCCCTAGGGTCCTGGAGTCCTGAAGGAACATCCATTCGCCAGTGGCAAAATAAAATAATAAAAGAAAATAATAAAAATACAAAAAAAACATCCCTTAATAGCATATGTCGAGCGGTTCTTGGCAACTAGTTTTAGACTCTTTTAGTCCTAAGGGAATAGAAACGCCGAGGCTTCTCAAATGCTCGGAGTATTTTGCTGGTTTGGGAAAGGAGGAGAGATTAATAATAAGTATTAAAACATTAACAAATGTATATTAACAATAAATAAAAAACTTGACAAATAGTCTTCAGAAAAAATGAATAAAATTCTATTTAGAGAATAATGCACTATAACTAATAGTAATAAAGATAAGCATAAAATATAATTCGGGACGAAAATGTAAAATTGGCATTTATATGTAAATCAATTAATCAATTATTATTAAACAAAATTAAGTTAAAATATTTACCCATAATTCACATCGTACACAAAAAAACTTTACACATTACTTTACAATAAAAAACCAGGGTTTCGCCCGAGGGGCGAAAGTTCTGGACCTTAGTCCGAACCCGACTGAGCGTTTACCCCTAAGTGATCCTTTCTATATAAACCAAAATTTATGTGACTGTTGATTGTATTTAACAATGTCACGTTCAATGTAAATTAATAAATTGAAGGTTTGTTTCATTGTGTCTTTTTAATTTTAATTTAAACATTAAATACTTGTTTAGAATTTTTGGTAAATTCTTTAGATTTTTTTCAATTAATAATAATGCCAATTATTACATTATCACCTTTTCGTTTTAAGAAGGCAATTCATTTTGAATAGTTTTCAATTTTTACATTATGTTTAATATTTAGTTCTGATTTCAGCATTGAATACTGCGACCACACTGTTGAACTTTTGAATTTTTCAGACAAATTAGTAAAATATGCGATCAGAACATTTTCTGAATAAAAATGTACGTGATTTTCTTCACTCCATTTCACAAATTTTGTGTAAGCATAATCGTAAATTTTCTTCGATTTCGTAGGTATTAAGGTTTCTATCGAAGATTTCGCTATTTCTAGCAATTCGGGAGGTGTTGATTGCATTTCTTCTGACATTTTCTTTTTACTTGAAAAACACAGGTATAACGAACGGGTTAACACTATTTTTTTAACCGACTTTTTATATTCTAAATCATGCACTGACAAACGTCAAATTAAATAAGTATTCAAATGACAGTTCCAGCCTACTTGACTGCAACGTTCATAAGCCATTTAACATTAGGTTTGTGCTTTTTTATACTAGTACAAAAATGAAAAATATTTGTACCAGTATAAAAATAGGCTACTTCTACAACACGTGTACCTTGATATAATGTAAACATTATTATACGCTTGAAGAAAAACCTATTTTTATAGTACTGAGTATTAATAAATACTAAATTCAATCTTACACCGCTGCATAGTATTTTGAGTTTTCTCTTTTGATCAACCTACTTAGGTAGAGCTTTGACATAAAAAAGTATTTATTAAGTACAGCGACAGTTGCATTTATTACGAAATCGAAATAGATATATTTCCGAATGAATAAAAATATTGACCTACCCATTTCTTATTGAAAACAGGAAGGTATAATAGAGTTCATTATAAATAATGTTCATGAAAGTTATTTATATGAACATAATAAATAGATTCTATTATGATTTACAAACTTTGCAAATGTTTTAGATAAATATAACATGATAAAATTATTATGCAAGGGTAATACGATCGTGATATACTCAATGAATATTTTATAGAAGTTAAAATAAGAAAAACCAAACATGATAAATTTACACAAGCACTTTTAGTTAAAAAATTAAAAATTACAGACAATTGTTTTGAAGTACAAATTCTTCTTCTAGAAGCACAAAATAAAATATGCTCCATTAATTATTTTTTTCTATTGTTTTAGAATGGAAAATATGTTAGACAAAGATCGAGAGCTACCTGGTAATTTCCTTTCTGAAATTTACAAGTGGGCCCTGGAATGTAAGTTATCATTTATGTTTTTTTCAAAAAAATTAATAAAACTATTTTAATAGTGGAGTAATTTAAGGTAAGGTTTTTAAAAAAATATTGCTGAACAACCTCTATTTTTGGTTTAAACTCATTCTTAAATAATTTATTTAACAAATAAAACAGTTAAATAAAAAAAAGATTTTGACTTGAGTCACTTGGTCCATAACCAAGAATGATAATAATTGGTGGTAATGGAATAGTTTACAAAAGGGATGAAATTGTACGAAATTCCAAATCAGGAAGCAGCAACTATTTTAAACGTGTGGAGTCGATTTTGAAGGCCACTGGAGATCTACAGTGACCAAAGCAGAAATTTTAAAAGTCAGCGTTTTTAAGAAATCTGTGACAGACTAGCCATAAACAAAACCAAAACAATAACGTTGTATCCATAGTCGGATGAAATGGTATAGAAAATAAATAAGATAATTGACAAATACCTGTCAACCATCCCCGAGATTCAGAGATCAGTATCTTTCGCTCTTTGCAATGACTATATATTCACCGTCAATGAATCAACAGGCCAAACGCCAGCAAAAGACGTGAGATCATACAACCGTGCGACCTTGAGTGTAGATGCGAACTTGGAGAAGATATAGCTGGTAAAGATTATGTGATTCGCCGCATTGATTGTCGTATTAGCGCAAATTATCCTGGTGTATTTCTTATTGTCTCACAGCGGGCTATAATTCGGTTCCTCAGGTCTCCGACATTTTCGACGGGAGTGGAATAAACTAGTGACTTAAGAAAACCCCAAATGTAAAAATCCAGAGGATTTAAATCCGGCGATGGAACAGGCCAATTTTCCGTACCTCTCCTACCTATCCAACGATTTGCATATACTGCATCTAAGTGATTTCGTACATCAATGGTAAAATGGGCTGGTGCACCATCATGCATGAACCATAAGTGTTGTCTCAGCTGTAGAGCAATTTCTTCAAGAAGAACAGGTAACTCTTCCTGTAGGAAATTAAGGTAAGAGTCGCCTGTTAGTCGTTGTGGGAGGAAATATGGACCGATTAAATGATCATCAATTACCCCAATCCATACATTTACCGAAAACTGATGCTGAAAATGAGCTTCAAAGATTCCATGTGGATTTTCCTCAGCCCATAAGTGATTGTTATGGAAATTTCGTATAGACTCTCGACCAAAATTAGCTTCCTTAGTAAACAAAACTCTATTTAAAAAATTAGGAATTTGAGTGATTTGATGAAGAATCCATTGGCAAAAAAATAGGCGTGGAAGAAAGTCTCTTGCACACGTTGAATATGAAACGGATACAACTGCTGTTCTTTAAAAATTCTAAATACAGTGAAGTTGCTTACATTTAATATATTGGCAATTTTTCGAGTACTTGTTTCCGGTGACTCCGCAATTAACTCGAGAACTGCTTCTTCTAGTTGCACAGTTCGTACTTCTCGAGGGCACCCGCAGTCAGCCGTTTGTTTCTTAAATATACCATTTTCGCGCAAACGTTGGTGAAGGCGAGCAAATATTGTGTGATGGGGTACCCTACGTCCTGGATACAACTCAGCATACAATCGTCGAGCTTGCCGACCATTTCCATTACTTCGACCATAGACAAAATGCATGTCTGACAATTCCACGTTTGTATAATTTTCCATTGTTTTCGATAAAAGAAAAGTTAATTACTTATTACCATCAATGTTATACCAAACTAAAAGCTTAATAATGAAGAAACGCTAATTTGACATTTCGTTAAACTATTCGTATTCAACAGAATGTTGACAATAGCCTACTAGTACTAGCGTCGCTATTAGATAATAATGTATTAAAGAAATGGAAAATACGCGTTAAGATATTTTATTTTTTTGCATAAAAACGGCGCCCCACACGAAAAAAAGACTGGAGATATTTTTTGTGACAAATTTAATGAGAAATTTAAAAATGATTTTTAATTTGAAATATCTCAGTGGCGTACCATGTTTTTCTTTAAATGAATTGAGATCATTACCCGTATGCACGCCAATGATGAACATAAAATTCTTAATTGCATGTCAAAAAATGTGGAATAACTACCTCTTAAACTCCACCAAATTTCATTTACATATCTTGACCGGTTTCAGAGCAATAAACAAATCGTCAGTTTTTAAGAAAAACTTTAACACTCCGTATTCGGAAAACGAAGCATTTTCAGACATACGTTTATATAGCAAACTGTCATTATTTTTTCATGCTAAATCACCCCTTGAAGTTTGTCGCACTTATTTACTAACACCCTGTATAAGATATTTATAAATTTTACATGGTTTTGGGGTATATTTCATTTCGTTATCAGATGACGTTAAAAATTTGCAGTTGGCTTGGGCTGTTATGATTTGATTCTGTATGCCCCAGGGATACAAAGCCGAGTTGCGCAATGTATAAACTGGAACATTGAGATCAAAAGTGCCGAGGCAGAGTGAGCGAACTGATTCTTTAGCCATAAACTGTGTCATAACTGTATCATAACCACTGGCAGCCATTTTTTTTTAATGCCTAATAGCTGCCAGTGAAAACGGCTCGCATATCTGTGGTGACATACTAGTCGCCAATCATGCCAAATTATGAAAAATGAATAAGGGGTTTTTTGTAAATATTATTTTTATTCTGTTCAACATTAAATATTTAAATTTAATTCATTATTCATAATTTCATATGTTGCAGATAGAATACTCCGACAGTTATTTTGTTTAGAATGCCTAATTAGAGAAAATGGTTTTTCAGCATTTCATTAACAAATCATGGGATTTAGTTTGAAATATTTTGAAAGGAGTTGGTTGCAATTACGCTCATCAAAACCTCTCTTTTTATTACTTTTCAAATAGATTCAATTTGATTTAAAATTAGTTATTTAAATAATTTCATAACGACGTGAAGCAAGTTGATGGATCTGTCAGATTTAAGGTCGTCAAGCCTCTTATCGACCCATGCAACGAAGACTATAGTAACTCATTTTTTAGAGTTTTTCCAAAAGCTTTGACCTAAATAAGTATCATATGTCTAAACGAAGAGGTTAGCAACCAAAAATACTACCATTAAATATAGTAAATCATTTTAGGCCATAAAATAAATACTACGAATACTATATTATCTTAGATTTTCTCAAAACTAGAAATAATGAGTTACTATAGTCTTCGTTGCATGTTATTATTATAAATAACGCTTACATTAACATATATGTTTAATTAATTTGATATTGATTAAACGAATATAACATAGAATTGATTTACTCATTTATTTCAATTTTATTTTTTTTGTAGCTGTGGCCAGAGTTTCATTAAATAAAAGATTGGGCTGTCTGGAACCAAATTTACCAGCAGATTCGGAATCTCAAAAAATTATTAATTCTATTAATACCTTCTTTTGGAATGTTGCCGAAGTTGAATTAAAATTTCCTGTTTGGAGGTTCTATAAAAATAAAGCTTTTATAAAGTACATAGGAGCCTTAGAAAATTTCAGAACGTAAGTAACAATTTTTAAAATAACGATAACACTTTACCATGTTAAATTATTATGTTATATTATTATTAGAAGGCGTATCTCTCATTGTAATACCGCATCAAAACTTACCCATAATACAAGTTACTTTTCAATCTTAAGTTGTTTTCACCAAACGATAAGTGTATATATATATATATATATATATATATATATATATATATATATATATATATATATATATAGAAAAAGGAGGGTAGTACTGACTGACTAGTTGAGAAAAAATATAGAAATATCTTGGGGATGCAGTCAAAGATATGGAGGGCTTTTTAATAAATAAAATGCACTCTTTTTTGTTTGTTAAGCTTTCGGAAAATGTTTATTTCCTTCATCAGAACATCTACAATGAATACAAAAATCGTTGTTAAAAATTAGTTACAAAAACAGAATAAACTAATTTACTCACCAAACTGAGATTAAAAGAAAAAGTTGACATCAAATACACAATTAAAAACTTTTCTTGTTAACATTATACATTATATAAAACAAAAAAAAAAAAAGATTCACTATGGTTAAACATTGAAGACTGAGAAAATTTTATTAGTTGAATTTTAAATCCATCATCGTTGATTTTTACGTTAAAACTGAGCAAAACCGGTGTTCGAATACGAAATTTATCAACATGTGCAAAAACCCAATGACTTTCAAGTTGTTTGAAGGAAATAACGAGCTGGATACAATTATAATATTTTCGAATCTACGTTAATAAAAAGAATTATTTGAATTTATTTGTGTAATGTTATTAAAATATTTCTACAAAAATTTCCAACAGAAAATGAATAATTAAAATGCAAAGAAATGGAAAATTAATTTGATATTGTTGATTTAATGATTGGAAAGAGAAAAGAAGAAAAAAGAAAGTTAAAAAAGAAATTGTTAATGAGAAAAGAAAAATTTTAGTTTTTTTTAATAATGTTTAATTTTGCAAAGAGAGTAAATAATTGTAAATTTTGCTTAAATTGGCTACATCAGATTTTTTATTGAGTGTATTTTTAGTATTGTGAATATGGACCATTTCTAAAAAGATCCTCTTGGTATAGTTAGGTTCTTTAGCGAGGATTTTAGTTTCACTGAAATTCATAGTATGTTTTGTGTTGATTACGTGGTCTGCTAAGGCACAGGACAACTTTTTTTTGTTGCAATCACTCCTATGGGAAGATATGCGCCCAGATAAGCATCTGGACGAGTGACCTATATAAACGTTTTCACAGTCTGAACAAGGAATGCTATATACTATATTCGAATTTTCTAATTTCTCTAAAGGTGTTTTTGTTTTAGTATAGAGATTTTTGATAGTTTTTACGTTATGAGTGGCAATTTTGATGTTATTAACACTTTTTAATACATTAACAAGCTTAGGTGTTAAATTGGGTATGTATGGTAGTGATGCATACCTGATAGTGGTTTCAGGGATCGTGTTATGAGTTGGAATAACATTTCCTTGGTCTTGGTGGTTATTTAACATAGGGGTGTTGAAAATATATTTATTTAATAGGTTGATTGGGTACGAATTCTCCCTCAAAATATCTCTCAACAGTACTAAATCCTCGTTGATAAAATTTGGATGTGACAACCTACGTATTCTCTCTTTCAAAGCACAAATTAGGTTCGTTTTCATTTTTGGAGGATGGTTAGACCAATAACTGATAAACCTATTGCTACACATAGGCTTTCTGTACCACCTTGTACGCAGAATATTGTCTAAACCCCTGAAAATTTTCATGTCTAGGAAGGGTAAACTTCTGTCAACTTCATATTCAACTGTGAATTGAAGATTTTATATATATATATATATATATATATATATATATATATATATATATATATATATATATATATATATATATATATATAGTGACAAGTCTCCTGATTCACCTACAGTGCTTCAGCGAGTCTGTGGCGCTATGAATGTAATTCCCGAATAGGGGTTGCTCAGGCGCCAGTTTTGATATCGCAGTTTGCTCTGCGGCCCTGGGGTGCACGTAGAGTACACCCTCAGTAGACTCAGTGGACTCCAGGTACAAACAAAAAAAAAATAAAACGGATAGACCTTCACTGTTAAGTTGACCTACACTGGGGTAGTAAAGTAAATAAAATTTTTCACTGCACTTTTACCTATTGATCACTACGCCCTGAAAACGGAAAAGCAAAGGCGTAATTCAAAATTAAACTCAGGAATTTCAATCAAAAATATATTTACAAAATAAATTAAATAAATAATAATTAAAAATAAAATAAACGGGGTGAAATCGGTATATATATATATATATATATATATATATATATATATATATATATATATATATATATATATATATATATATATATATATATATATATATATATATATATATATATCTGTTTAATAACGGTAATAAAATAAATGCAGAATTATGTATGTTGATAAAATAAAAGGTCTCTTTATTTACAGAAAATGATATAACGGTAAAATTAACTATGACCTATACTATACCCATAAGAAAATAAAAATAACAATTTTCCCTTTAAAAAAAATTAAAACGGTGAGCACTAACACCCTTAGCACAAATTCCTTGCTATTAATGAAAACGGCCGGTTTTAGCCATAAGAAAAAAATCTACAATAGTAAAACTAAATATGATTCAAACTATACGTTTTAAAAATAAAAAAAATTAATAAGCTACTCTCGGTAATAAAAATATCGGTAATCTGCCAACGGTGGTGAACAGTATCACCCTCCACTCATGAGAGAAAAAAAAATGACGGATGCCTTTATAATAACGACGCCTAATATCCTCCCCGCAATATTATTTTACTAGGCACAATAGACCAAATAACGGGTGTCTTAAAGCGGTATTATTCGACCAATACTTTGAGAATTTTTATTTTATTTATTCGGTATCAAATTTCTCTTATGTAGACATCTGGCAATCCATAGCTTCTACAAAACAGAAACAGCTGCGACTCTCGACAGGGATAGCAAGCGAATACCACTATCATCCCTTGGTTAACACGAAAATGGTTGAAGGGCACTAACGCCCCGGATTTAAATACAATTCGTTACCCTGACAGGTACTAAGAAATCAAAAATATCGGTCGAATAGCTCAGGTAATTAATAGTACGGAAGTGAATGTTACAGGGAGAATTATTAGACGGAATTTTAAATAAAAAGGCCTACCTTAATTAACTTCTTCACAAAAATCGCTTTACGGTAAAAACGGCACTTCAGCAAAACAACTTTTACTAGCGAACTGACGGCAGCAGCAGGAAAAGAGGGAGCTCCTTCATCGCAAACATTTAGTTTTATCAGAATTGGTACTTTTGCCGGAGTGGGGCGGTAGCCCCACCTAGAGGAAATAAATTGTTATTGCAAAAAAAACGTTAATTGATCAGCTTACTGATAAAATCTACTAGAATTGCAATTTTACAAGACGATTTACATTATTGTGATATCGCAAGTTTTAAACTACGAGGGCTCTTGCAAATGTTTAAAAACGGTAATTCTACGGAAATATTAGTTACAGGGGGTCTTGCAAATGTTCATAGATGGAAATTAATTTTAGAAATTAATTTATGGAATAAATTAATGGGAATTTTAGTGACTTCGTCACAATATATATATATATATATATATATATATATGTATATATATATATATATATATATATATATAGATAAAAGGATTATTGAGCAAATACCACAAAAGAAAATGAAAAAAAAAATGCCTAAAGGCAAACCGTAGACACGTGTTTCTGACTATTGGTCTTCATCAGTACGGTGCAGCCAAGTTCAAAAGAGAATGGAACTAGCGATAAAATCAAATCAACAGGAGATCACTCAAGAAGCCAACCACACATTTGTGGACTGTCCTAACATTGCCAGTGATTACTAGGAAAATATTAACGTTGCCACGGAGGCAGTTATAGCCGCTATGAAGATGCATCCAAGCCCAAGGAAACTAAACAAAAGAAGGTTTAGAGCGGTGAAAAAATATAAAAGATAAAAGGATTATTGGGCAAATACCGCAAAAAAAAATGAAAAAAAAATGCCTAAAGGCAAACCGTAGACAAGTGTTTCTGACTATTGGTCTTCATCAGTACGGTGCAGCCAAGTTCAAAAGAGAACGGAACTAGCGATGAAATCAAATCAACAGGAGATCACTCAAGAAGCCATTCTACAGAAATGTATTTTTAAACATACTTGAAAACTCCACACAACGCCCTGCAAATCTACAAACAGATCAAGGGATAGAATATTATAACAAGGACTTTGAGAAAATAATGAAAACATTGTTTTCAACTCAACTTTTACAATAACCCAATTCAACTGATAACATTAACGTGTAACGTCTATCATCAAACTAAACTCTGATGTCATATTGTCGACTTATATAGCTTGCTTGACCTTCTCGAACCTTCTCGACCTGTCATCTAGAATGTTCTTGACGGGTAATGACATTTCTGGACATTTCTGGACATTTCTGTAACATTCTATATTCTTTTACTTGTACTTTTACTTATGACGACCGCAGCACACTGTAGAGCGATGAGTAACATTTCACTTCTTTTTCTATCTGTAAGTTTCCTATGATAGCCGCAGGGTGCTGCGTAACATTGCTCCCTCTTCTCTAGTTATTCGCCCCGAATAACTTGATTACTGGGATCTGGTTGAAGCCAACGGGGAGGATCTGAACCACGGTATGGCGCTAACTTCTTGATGTGAACTACCTTGGGTTTACTTCCCGCTGAAAACTGAATGCGGTGGATGAGGTCGTTGATTTTCTTAAAGACGGAATAGGGGCCTTCCCAGTTCCGTTGCGATTTCTGACGAAGTCCTCCTCGCTGCTTAGGATCGCACAGCCATACCTTGTCGCCTCTCTCAAAATGTGTATATGTGACATGCCTGTCCCTTTACTGGGGCGTGCCCAGTCATGAACCCTGTTATCACTTTCAACTGGTTCCTATTCATTAAGAGTAGTTCTCCA